ATTGCAAATATCACAAAACGGTATAGGACTTTTATGTTCACATCAACCCATTCTATGTCTTTACAAAATTTTCGGAGGAGAGTGTGAGACACCCTGTATATAAAAACAGACAAAGCGTGCTCTACGTTCCATGTTACAAAGTTAAAAATAATCAAATATTTCTTTTGAAAAGCCTTGTTATTGGTATTTAATTGTAAACTAATGTATCGCGATAATGTCACACATTGGAGCTTGTTTGACTGCCATGTTTTCGAGAATTCTCTTACTATGGCGCCAAAATAACACTTGCAACTATATACAGAAAAACGTTATTTTACTATTGAGAAAAACGATTACTCTCAGTTTATTTTTCTTGTTTCAAGTAATGGTTATTTCCAACAAAGGATATTTTCTTGATAATAGTTTTAAAATATATTCATCACAAATTGTAGAAAAGCTCATTATCACGTATTCAAAAAATAAATTAATTAATTATTCCCTCTACAAAAATGTTATAAAATTTTATTCAAAAGAAAATTGACTCTATGTAGTAAGCAAACCGAACTCTTGTTTTCACTTAATATTCCTAATTGAAATACTAAACTTTCAGATTCAGTATTTCGAATAGATTTAATACCTGTGATGAGTTTATGATAGAGTTGCGGGCACATAAACTTATAAAATATTTTAAACAAGTAACACACATTTATTTGAATGCAATATGCGTTTTTCTGCGCGTAGAATTCTTTTTTGGATGTTGGGGAATATTTTTCCTTTGATTTCGGAAGAATCCTCTTGTGTAATCCTCATATGTAATCCGCTATGGATGAGATTATATTATTTTCAGTGTAAAATGCACCACATTTACGTAATATGTATTAACATATTTACGTATTACGTAATATATTACAGTCAATGGCTGCGTTTAGCAGAGAAAGCTACTTTGCGACTGTGTTAAATTCGTGAATCTGATTAGCGTATGCTCGACTCTAACAGCACATGTACCAATCAAATTCGCAAATTTTACGGACATTTGCAAAGCAGCTTTCTATGCTAATGTGTTAATATTCGCACGAGCATATGTTTTAGCGCAACGGAAATATCGTCAAGTTCGTGGCACTTTTACGGTTATTTAACCATCAATTATCGAGAGAAACCTCGGCCGTTTTTCTTACTTCTCTTCGCGGTCTTCCTCATATTCTAACTCATAAAAGTTTGCTTCGGGCATGTAATAAAATCCCTTTTTTTTACGACGCAGCTTCAGCTTTTCCGCGTCTCTCATTTCGCTTATCTGCTCGCGAAGGATTTTATTGATGTCGGACTGGTCCGCGCAAACCGTAGCTGTTGGCGTCGCGGTATTATCGTTTCGTTTCTCGCTTAATTTTTACGATCCACTTTAGCGGTTACCTGCCCGCGTGGGACCGCGGAAACGTAGCGCGCTGGAGTCCTTGCGTCGCGAATATGTCGGGAAATAATTTATCGGGGAACATTATTGCGCGTCGCGTCTATAAAGTTTCCTCAGACTATATCGACCCGCTCTGTGGAATAATCGTCGATTTGTTCGGTAGCTGCGCGGGCGTTTGAAAATTTGATAGTGTCGATAATCTCATCTTTTTTGAGAAAAGGAATGTGACGATCGCGATATGGAGACGAGCGAGAAATAAACCCGCCAGTGGTTCTATTCATTAACGTTGTAGTTCGTGCAGTGCTGGAAATGTTTGAATCGCGGAGATACCCGTCCAATGATATAATGATATCGGAAATACCCGCCGCATACACACGCGCACACGCACACGCCCGCATACTCGTTGGGAGCTTCGACGAAACTTCAACTTCACGGCGCCGAAGGGATGACTGGTGGGCGGATTTGCGCTGTCATATATTTACTGGAACAGCGCTGGGCCGCCGTGGCAAAAACGGCGAGATGCAACCGAGCATTCGGTCGTATATCTGACCGAGGCGTGAAATTAATGCTCCTCGAAAGTTGGACGCGCCAATAGCGGGTTGTGACGTGACGCGAAGTTTTATCACGAAATACGTAATGTGGAAATCCCGGCGCGCGGCGCGGTGGCATCCGTGAATATTCTAATGTCATTAAACATTCATAAACCCTCCCCCGTAATTCCGCGTCCCCGTACCAACTTTATACCTTCGCGGATTTCTGATCTAATTTAATATTAAATATTTTCGCGCGCGTCGGACGCGCGACGATGAAATTCAAAGGATGCGGGGGTTATATTGCGCCCGCGCTCGCGTGGTTACAGATACACGGGCCATTTTATTGGCTTCATCATGAAATATCGGACATTGTAGAAAGGAAATTCGCGAACGGAGCGAATTAACTTTTAATCAAGTGCACTGGCACATTGCACGCGCAATGGCGAAACTGCTGCGTTATTGTCCGAGATAGAATTACTTCGCGTGTGACGTACCCAACGAAAGATAGATCGTTTTTCCCAAACTCTCTATTTCTCTCTTTCTTTCTTTTTTCATACGTCCGCGCCAATTTATGAGAAATTCAGGAGGATCGCGTAAACTCACGCATTTTGCGCGCGTACGTCGCTTGCAGCGGCGAACCAGAATCAAATTTCATTTCTACATTAATCTTGCTAGCTCTCCTTCATAAAGGAATAATAGAAAATTTCGGAATAATTGAAAAAGCATAGTCACTCATCACCGCATTTTGATGTTGAGGCGCTTATTTTAGAACTATGTAACATTCAAAAAATATAATCTCATTCTTAAAGGAATCTTCTTAGATATGATCTCGAGAGGATTCTCCTAAAACCAAAAGGAAGATATTTCAATATTATTCCTCTTCATTAGAAGAGAAACATTCTTTTAGTAAAAAATTTCGCTTAGAATATAGAATTTTGCATAGTAATCAGAAGCAGAATTTTTGGAATATTTTCCTTTTGGATTTATAGAAGAATGCTCTTGAAAATGCTCATAACATAAGAGGATTTCGCTGAGGATTATATTTTTCAGTAAATGTATGATTATCTGCAATCTCTTTCAAAGAGTAATGTATAACCCTTTTCTTTAGAAATCAATGTCAATCGGTAAAAATCAATCAAATAATGTCGATTCCTATTTAAAAAAAAACAATAGAACATTTCAAAATGTAATATTAAACAAATTTGTCCTATTATAACATCAAAAATGGTTACTCATTATCGTACTTTGATATTAAGGTTTGATGAAATACTTATCTTAGAATTATTTAATATCAATAAATATCAAAAATATAATTTCATCCTTAGAGAAATCCTCTTATATGACCTCAAAAGGATTCTTCTAAAACCAAAAGGAAGATTTTAAGCACAATATTCTTCTTCGTTAGAAGAGAAACACTCTTTCGGTAAAAGTTCTTGAATATGGAATTACAAGAAATAACATTCTATAACTAGAGTTCTCTTTTTTAGAATATTTTCCTTTTGGATTTATAGAAGAATGTTCTTGAGAATGCTTCTAACATAAGAGTATTCCGCTGAGGATGAGATTATATTTTCCGGGGTTGGACATTTAATTACCTGCAGTCTCAAAGAGTAACGTATAGCTCTTTTCGTTAGAACCAATATGGATTATTAGAAATCGTACAAATAAAGGAACAATAGAGAATTTAGACAATATTATACATTTTGAAAGCTACTATCCTATCAACGCCAAAAGCTTTATTACTGTTTTTTGATATTGAGATTTGTATTGATAATGAAGCGCTGATTCCAGAGCTATTCAACTATACATGACTCCAGAGCTATTTTGATTATACGTGACTCTTTTCACAGAGTAATGTACAACCTATTTCGTTAGAAATCAATGCGAATTTGCAGCATGTACACTACATTATAAAAGATAGCTCTTTGTGAGCGTTGAATTACACGCTTACCATTGCACGTTGGCATCCAGCAACGTCCGCCGTCCAATGACGTCAGACCATTCCAGTCTCGATCCTTGCGTCATCCCGCGTTGATTGCACTCATTTCATCATTTAACTGGCGACACGACGGTCGCCAATATTTATTTGGCTGACGATATATTTAGTAAAAAACATTTCTCGACGGTATTAATGAAACATTTTTATTCGCTCTGAAATGTAATTTACGACCTCGATTAACGACAAATAAAATAAAAAGCAAAATTTGCGGATTCGTTTATTGAATGTTTATGGCGGCACGATAAATTTCGACATTTCACGAATACGATATCGCAATTCACGTATGAAAAATCGTCGGTTTGTAGAGGCCGTCACCTTCGGGCGAATTCATGACGTTTCGTTCGTTACGAATCGTGTGTAAAAAAAATCGATTATGGAAGATAATTGAAATAGTAATCGCTAGACAGTATAATCGCGACGTGAAAGTATGCATAAAAAATCGCCAATTAAAAGTCGATTGAAAAATGTAACGAAACGCGAATAAAATAAACGGGAATGATTTCACGCATATGATATCTTCGTACGTAATATTTTATCGAAGTCAACTTTCGCGATATTTCGAATATAACGAGATCCGTTCTCTTTACACAACACAATCGCTGTGCAAAAACACGTTTAAGCTGACAGCCGCGGTGATCGCGAAATCGAATTTCACGCGAGCGAAATCACCTCAAGCTCAGCGTGGCGCAAGTTTTATGCGCGTTGTATACCACTCGAAACAATTAAGGGTTCCTGTATGCTAAATGGACAATATTATAAAATAATTCTACAACTTAAATCGAAGATACGAGCAAAATAGTTACAGTATCGCATCTGCACAAATGATTTTGTGACAGATCACTGGGAATATTAAGAGAGAATTCAATTTCAAATCTCTTGTGTGTACGTGATACATTCCCCTAATTGCTCCGAGCAGTGTATTTGGTTTGACAGCACAACACATACATGCAAAGATCTATAAGCAATTCGCATTGATTTCCACGGTATTGTTTCAATCCTCTACCAATTATAAACGTACACGGAGAGAATGTCTGTTACGGTTTTATCTTTCATATAAATCCTTTTCACTTTTATTATATGTTATCAGGAATAGATAGTCAATCAAGTTTATTTTGCCAAAAAACACAGTAAATTTTGGCTGAAAACAGCAAATTTTTTTACAGCACATTTCAGCCCCTTAGTGCAAGTAGCACAAATAAAACGAATTATTGTAGAATGTCGATCTACTTGGTTACAAAATTCAATAGAAATTTTCACTATAAAATTCTCTCCGTGTATAAACTTATTCATAATTTTGTTTTGTTTTTCACTCACCGAAACGACTTGCAGTTGAGGTCGGCTATGTTTTACTTCAAACCTTTAACAAAAAACAGACATTCGTTGATTAGACTTAAGAATTCGGTTTAACGAACAGGTAAGTGAGAATAGATAAATCCTTTGCGGCTGTAATTCCAGTCATACCGACGGAATATCTCATCTATCTCAATTACATCAGATTTAGATCTCAGTTTTAGTTCGCAAAGAGTTAAACGGAGATGCAAAAGGAGCTTATAAACTTACCTTCCAGCCGACACTGCCCGGCCCGAACCGGTTCCTCCAGTACGGCATCCGCGTGAGTCGAAGCTGCAGCTTTCTTCGCGAAATCTGGCAGATCTGTAACAAAAATGTAATTTTCCTGATTAGTAAACAGTGATAGAGAAGTTTCTCGATTCCGAGAACACGTCGGAGTATTCGACACGAGAGTATCAAGAATACAATATCTATTTTTTTTATTGTACATTGTAAAAACTGATGTGTTAAATTTAACACATTTTATGTTTCCCAAATCATCCTTTCTCATTTATGTGTAAATTTACACAAAACAAATGTGTTAAAAAGTAACATGCATAATATGGAAAAAATTAAGACAAGAATTTAACACTTGAATACAGTTAGGAATCACAGGTTGTTTTAAATTTAACACACAAATTTAAATATGTCAGACATAGATTATGTCAATTTAACATTTTCATTTCATCAAAACTATAGATTACTATAGACTATATTAGACTATAAGATTAATACTTGTCTCAAATGTTAATAACGTCTGTAACGTTTTATTTTAGTTAATTTAACATTATATATATGTCAATTTAACATTTTCATTTCATCAAAACTATAGATTACTATAGACTATATTAGACTATAAGATTAATACTTGTCTCAAATGTTAATAACGTCTGTAACGTTTTATTTTAGTTAATTTAACATTATATATATGTCAATTTAACACAAACTGTGATTCCTGACGGTATTCAAGTGTTAAACTATTGTGTTAATTTTTTACATATTATGCGTGTTACTTTTTACCACATTTGTTTTATGTCATATTTACACATAAATGAGAGTGGATGATTTGGGACATATGAAATGTTAAATTTAACACATCAGTTTTTATAGTGTAATAAAAATAGAATATGAAAGTTACCTTTTAAATTTGAATATGTTTCCACAGCTTACGATGTTCTTAATATTATAATCGCACTCGCGACATATCACAATCCGTCTTAAATACGCGCCGGGAAACATCGAATAATCGAGAATACCGCGCGTGACGTCACTCGACGCGATCGCCTGATCGTCAAAGGTCGTTATGATCTCAAGCACGCGGCTTATCTACGTTTGCTGTTGTTTTCAAAGTCACGTGATCTACGAAACAATGGGGAGACACCGTCACATGTCTCACCTAACGATTTCACGTATAGCTTATGTTATAATATCAATATTTTACAATATATTATGATATTTAATTTTTTAAGTAACGTGTTCCGACCACAATGTTTATCGCGTCCACGTGCTGATTACTAAGATCTCAAAAACACGAATTATTAAAGCCACGAAAACTAATTTAATTAATTAATTAAATTCTCTGATTTAATTATAGAATACAGTTAATATATATATATATATATATATATATATATATATATATATATATATATATATATATATATATATATATATATATATATATATATATATATATATATCTGTCTCAGAGGCGTTTGATCCGAATTAAGGATGTCAGTGTGAAACTACATGCAGGAAAAGAATTTGCCGCAGAAGCTAAACCACAACTATGTCAACTAAGTTATTGAAACAGGAAGAGTCACTACCGAAACTAAATTTAACAAATTTAAACTTCGACACTACGGCAAAAAATATTCGCTACTAGGTAGAAAGCTTCCGTAATTATCATTTCGTTTGTCTTTTAAATAGCACTTTATACCCGTCAAAAACATAAAACTCGCGCTTCGCGTTAAAAGTCCAAATCAAAACTTCGCACTGGTTTCTCATGTAGATCAACAATTAATGTCCTCGTGAAGACAAACACAAAAACCGATGTCTTTCGTATCTTTACAATTATGTTGTTTGATGCTAATCTCACAGAAAGACGATTCCACGTTTATCGGAAGCGCGCTAATTTTCCCTTCCCAATGGTCTTTGTCTCAAGTCGCTACGACGTCTACGAGTACAGTTATCAGCGATTGTGCCGATCCGCGCTCTAAATTTTTCGGCGCTATCGCTGCAGCGAGCCGCACGTAAGACGACGCTACGCGTGAATGGAATGCGGCACGCGACTATTGCCCGCGCGGTAAGTCACCTTCCGTCGTAAGTGAAAGTACGCGCTACCTCCCCCCCCCCCC